GGAACATACCGTGGTTGCAGGCTCGATCCCCGGCTCTCGTTGGGCATGTGCAGGAGGGAACCAATCTATGTGTCTCTCTCTGTGTCTCTCCTTGTCCCTTCCACTCTTTCTAAAAGTCAATGGAAAAATAGTGAGGATTAACAACAAAAAATAATTTGTAAAAAAAGGAATGTTTCCAGCCCGGCCAGAGTAGTTCAGTGGTTGAGCATTGACCTATGAACCAGGAGGTCATGGTTCAATTCCTGGTCAGGGCACATGCCCGGATTGCGGCTTGATCCCCAGTGTGGGGCATGCAGGAGGCAGCTGATCAATGATTCTCTCTCATCATTGATGTTTCTATCTCTCTCCCTCCCTCTACCTTCCTCGCTGAAATCAATAAAAATATATTTTAAAAATAAAGGAACATTTTAAAAAAAAGACTGTATCTAGAATATATAAAGAATCCTAAAAACTCAGAATTAAGAAAACAAACTACCTCATTTTAAAAAATCAGTTGTATTTTTATATACAAAGAGCAATCAATTAGAAAAACAAGGTATCTACACACAATTAATTTTACAATAGCATAAGAATATTAAATACCTAGGAATTAATCTAACAAAAAAGGTCCAAGAACTCTACACAAAACACAATAAAACATTATAGATGGAGATTATAAGAATACCTAAAAATTGAGAGATATACCATGTCTATGGAAGGAAAGTCAGTTTTCCTCAAATTGGTCTTATATTAATTATAACCCCAATCAAATCTCAGCATATCATGTGTGTATGGAAACTCATGAAGTGAGTTTAAAATTTAAATGGAAATGTCAGTTGTCAAGAATTGTAGTCACTTCTGCAGAATAAGTTGGAGAGACTTGAGCTTTAAGATAAGAAGATTTTTATAAAGCTAAAATTAAGACCTACATCAGTACAAAAATACACAATTAGCCCCATGGACAACTAAACAGAGCCCAGAAAATGACCCAAGCAATGTAGATTTATGGCCATAATTTATGACCAATGTGGTCATAAAGACCTTTTTATGAAAGGTCTTTTCATAAAAAGTCATGGGACAATCAGATATCCTTATAGGAAAACACACACACACACACACACACACACACACACACACACACACACACACACACTACTACTCCGCTTCTTCACAGGACACAGAGAGCAATTACAGATGCCCGAGGATCTAAATGGGAGAGACGAAACAACTAAATTTGTAAATGATAAAAAATATCTTCATGACATCAAGATAAAGATGTCTTTGAAAGGATACAAACACCACCACCCACAAGGAAAATAACTCAGAAGGCTTCTGTATTGAAACTAAGATCTTCTGTCCCCCCCTTCCCCCCCCCAAAAGGTTACTTTTAAGAGAATGAAAAGGAAGATTCTAAATGGGAGAGGCGATTTGTAGCACACGTGGTCAAGTGTGTCCTCCAAAGACGGCCTCAACAATACCTCCCATTTCACACGCTTTTCTGCGTGTGACCTTCCCCCTCCCACTCCAACAATTGGAGAGGATGCCCCCCAGGCAGGCTGTGACTACTATGAAATCATGTTCTACATGAGGCTTCCTTGGGGAAGCCAGCTCAACTCCCTGAGATTGGCATCCTGGAAAGGCCATGGGTGGGCTTGCCCATTGACAGCCCCAGCCAGGCTCCATATAAGTTCAGCATCAACTGCTGGCCATGCCACCCAGCCCAGCCCTCCAAGGGCTGACAACTGTATGAGAGGCCCCAAGAGAGAATTACCCAGCCAAACTCGTCTCCAATTCCTGACTCTCACAAGTATAAGCAAAACCAAAAGCATTGCTGTTTTACACCACCACATTTTGGAGTAATTTGTTACACAGCAGTAATAATCAGAACTGGCAAGGACTCATATCTATACTAGTAATAGAGGAATATGCAAATTGGCCGGGACACCATCACGTAATGACCAATCAGGACGGTGGCGGGACTGCTGTGGAGAGCTCTCAGCATGTCTGTCCCGGGGTTTGAAGGGCGCAGAGAGGAAGGGAGAGCAGATAGGCAGTTAAGGTGATCAGGCCAGGAGGGGAGAGCAGATAGGCAGTTAGGGGGATCAGACCAGGAGGGGAGAGCAACTAGGCAGTTAGGGGGATCAGGCTGGCAGGGGAGAGCAGTAAGGCCATAAGGCTGGCAGGGGAGCAGTTAGGGGCATCAGGCAATCAGGCAGATGAGTGGTTAGGAGCCAGTGGTTCTGGATTGTGAGAGGGATCCCGGATTGGAGAGGGTGCAGGCCGGGCTGAAGGACCTCCCCTCCCCCATCCCCCTGCACAGAATTTCGTGCACCAGGTCTCTAGTCCAAAATATAAAACGAACTCCTACAAACCAATAAAAAAAAGACAATGGATGGTAGTAAGAAGCAAAAGACTTGAAAACCAAATGGTCAATTATAAAAATGTGCTCAATCTCAGCAGTTATTAAGGAAAAACTAATGGAAACCACTAGAATGGCTAAATTTTAAAAATAAAAACGGACAGTGCTGTGTTAGTGACGATGGAGAGCACAGGGAACTAGTGGCTGCTATGGAGTGCAAAGTGGTACAATGAATGAAAAGCAGTTGTCACCGCCTACGAAGTGGAAGGTCACATTCTGTGACCTAGCAGTGTCGCTCCTAGACACATACCCTGGAGCACAGGGCACAAGTGCACGAAGAAACCTATACAGGAGTGCTCGTGCCTGCCCGGGGCCGTCCGTGGTTAGAGCGTCCGCGTGTGCACCAAAGGGATCGCTTCCCGGTCAAGGGCACACACCTGGGCTGTGCAGGAGGCAACCAGTTGTGTCTCTCTCACATTGATGTTTCTCTCTCTCTCCCCTCCCCCCTCCCACTCTGAACAGCAATGGAAAAAATATCTTCAGGTGAGGTTAATGAAAAAAAAAAAGGAGAAGAAGAAGAAGAGTGTTCATAACAGTAAAAGTTGAAAACTGGTACAGCCCAAACTTCCATTACAGTTCAGTACATAGACAAATAGTTTTCACGAGGTGGAAAACTGCACCAACGAAAATGAGCAAAATAATGGCCAGCAGAAGTAGAGGTGAATTTCAGAAAAGAGGCTGTGCAAAAGAATATACATGAAAGGAACCCACTTAAAAACAAACAAACGTGTACTTGGGTCATAAAATGACAAAGGAAAGCTGGGGGGTGGTAAAGCCAGGGTTTGAGGACTGGGGAGGGGTTTGTGGCCACAAAGGGGGGCTTCTGATATTCTGGTGCCATTCTGTACCCCTTGATCTGGGGTGGGTGCATGGGTGTGTGCTTTAAATTGTATATTTGTGATACGTTAGTATGTACTTTCCATGTGTGTTACCTCTCACAAGAATATTTCTTAACTTGAAAACTAAAGAATATTGGAAGAAAATCAATATATGGGTGAAAAAAATCTAACTTCATTTACTATTTGATTGCCTAGTTTCCTCCACGTTGTTTATTAAATCAGCAAAACTAACCCCATTGATTTGCGATTCCAACTTCATAAAATATTCACTTCTTTTTTAAAATATATTTTTATTGATTTCAGAGAGGAAGGGAGAGGGAAAGAGAGATAGAAACATCAATGATCGTCCGCTGCTTCCTGCACGCCCCACACTGGGATTGAGCCTGCAACTGGGACAATGAGTGCAGTGAGCTCTCCACCCTCCGGTGGGTGCAGCTGACCAGGATTCCAACCGTGACCTCCTGGTTCATGGGTCCATCCATGCTCAACCACTGAACCTATGCTGCAGGCAGGGCATGTATTCAATTCTTAGTTACACTTGTTATCAACAGCCTGGTCTTGGTCTTTGGCTAGGATGAACAGATTGGGGGAGGGGTGGGGAAAGTGTGAATGAAGTAGAACTAAAGCACACGGAGATAGTCATCATCATGGGACATTTATTTATTTATTTATGAGAGGCCCCGTGCACGAAATTTGTGCACAGTTCTGGCCAGTGATTAGGGCTGATCTCTGGGGCAACCGGTGGGGTGATGGGGAGGTCCCTGCTGGCACCCACCTTGGCTGGCCTGGAGCCTGCAGGCTGGGGGCAGCTCCTGCATTGACACCCTGTGGTCAGTGTGCGTCATAGCCACCAGTTGTTCTGCCAGTTCTGTCGATTTGCATATTAGCCTTTTATTATATAGGATTTATTTATTGGTTAATCTTCACTGGAAGATATTTTTCCATTGATTTCCAGAGAGAGTGGAAGAGAAGTGGGGGGTGGGGGAAGAGAGAGAGAGAGAGAGAGAGAGAGGTGAGAGACACATAGGTTGGTTGCCTCCTGCTCATGCCAGCACCCAGGCGGGAATTGAGCCTGCAATGCGGGTACTACCCCTGACCAGGAATGGAACCCTAGACCCTTCCGTGCATGGGCCAACGCTCTAACTAGTGAGCACCACCGGCCAGGGTGGGGCTTATTTTAAATAGGAAAATTCTAGAGACAACTGAAAAGAGAAAGGAAGTCATTGGGAGGGTTGCCAAGTCAGGGGGTTAAGTGTCACCTGATAAAAGGATGAGCTCAGAGCAAAACTATTTAGGGGAGACCTAGGAGCGGGCGGTGCCTGCAGGGTGGGGTGCACTACCCGGGACCAGCCGCGGTGCACACAGCTGCCTTCCGCACCATGTAGGCGGCAAGATAAAGTGTGAGGAATTTGACATATAGCTATCTTTAAGTTATATTATTGCTTTTTTTCTTTCCTTAAATGTAGCATTTACTGATGGGAGAAAATTAAAGAAAAACGCCGCTGCCACACTTTGTCCTGCCCTGACTGCTGGGCTCCATTCGGGCGGGAGCGCACAGCTCAGGCCGGGTGGTACCTGCTCTCCGCCCGGGGCTTGGCCGCAAGGGCACCCGGCACCCACCCGCCTCCACTCGCGGCGCGAAGCGGGCACCCGCGGCCAAGGCGGGACCCCACCGGCCCGGGCGGCGCGGAGGTGCGGGGGGCGGTCCCGGGCGCCTGGCCCGCCCCGAGCCCCGCCCCGCCCCGCCCCGCCCGGCCAGGCCGCCTCACTCGCTGCTCGCCCCGCAGAGGCCGGCGGTCGGACCGCGCCGCAGCCGGAGATGCCGCGGGGCGCCGCGCTGTGCCTGCGCCTGTGGCTCTGCCTCGGACTCCTCGACGGCGAGCGCGGTGAGCTCTCCGCCGCCGCCCGCGTGCGCGCCCGGCCGCGCGGGGAGGCCCGCGAGGGGGACACTCCTGGGGCGACTGGTGGGACCGCGCCGATGAGGGCGGGCGGGGAGCTGGGCACCCGCAGGCCCGGGCAGCAGGGGAGATGGGGCCGGGAGCCAGGGACACGGACACGGCCGGGGCGCTGCGGGGCGCGGGAGAGGAGAGGAAAGGGCGGGCCAGGGACCGGCTCCCGCGGCCCCGCAGCGCAGGGATGGTGCCGGGCTCCCGACCTCGCCCCGCCGTCCGCGGTCCGCTCCCCGGGGCCGGGCCCGCTCGCGCTGCGCTCTCACCTGCAGCCTTCGCTTCCCTCCCCGCTACCCGAGGCGCCCCGGGCCGCCTACCCGCGCGCCCAGCCCGTCCCAGGGCGACGAGGCGGCGGTGCCCGCCGGGCCGCCGACCGGGGTGCGCGCTTCCCGACCCCTCGGGTCCGCGCTCGAGGTCGGGCCCGCAGGGGGCGCCCGGGGCAGGCGCGCGCCTTCGCCAAAGGCAGGGGTTCGGCGTCGCCGCAGCCCGGCGCCGTCGGGAAGACCCGGCGAGGTGCGCGCTGGAATTTGAGGCGAACCTGGAGGCTGCAACTTGTATGCAACGAGCGGGACGGAAGCGGCAGGAGGCTGGCCGCCCCGTCTATGGAGGCGCAGGGCTTGACTGCCGAGCCAGGAGCGGGTCCCCAGCAAGGGGCCCCGGCAGGAGTCGGGCTTGTGATGGGAACCGGGCGGGAGGCTGCGCGTGGGGTCGGAGGGAAAGGGGAGCGGCGGCGAGGAGGGCAGCGGGTGGGCTTGGATGGAGTGTCAGGGATCAGAGGAGCTGGGATTCCACATGAGACCTGGTGACCCTGGAAACCACAAGGCAGCCCTGGGTCCCAGTGGCTGGGGAGGAGTGCGGGAGGCCTGAAGGGAGAGACGGCGAGCTCACCTTTTTGGAAAACTGGGCAATAGATACCGGCTTGTATGCTTCGTCTCTTAAGCCTCACCAGGGAGTGTTAGGCGCATTTCTTAGACGGGGGCGCTTAGACAAGGACATGTAACCTCTCTCCAGTCCCCAGGAAGCCATAGTAAAGGAGGGAGTCAGCCGGGCCTTTGGGAGCAGAGCCTGACGGGCTGAGGGCGGTGTGGGGAGCCCCAGAGAAGCCGGAGGAGGGCGTCTGTCTGGGCCTCACGCTGCCCCAGTCTGAGCTGGTCCCGCCCCGCCTGGGCTCTCCTCACGCCTGCACCCAGCCCAGGGCCAGGCCCTCACAGGGCTCAGGTGTTTGCGGAGTGGCTGAGTGAGTGCAGGAGGAGAAGTGCACGCCCCCGGTCGGACCGAGTGGGTGGGGGCCGCCTTGAGGAGACATCTGGCAGGCAGCTGGATGTGGTGAATGAGGCTGGGCTGGGAGCTAACGGGGAGCAGAGCAGAGGGCCCAGGATGGGCGCCCCCTCACAGGGGGCCCGAGAGGGAGAGGCATCCTGGGAGATGGGACGCTGCAGGGCGTGAGCACCAGGAGAGGCTGGTGTCCCGGCGCTGGCTCCAGAGGGAGGAGGGAGAGCGGTGAGGCCTGTCCTGCGGGGAGGACAGCCGGGCAGTTGGGCAGTGACAGGGAGGAGAGTGATGGTAGCTGCTGGAGGGGGTGCCCAGGCTGGGTCGGGGCTCGGCTGGTGGGAAGACGCCCACGGAGAGTAGAGGAGACCACTGCTGGCTCCTGAGCCCAGCTCCTGCCCCAGCCGCTGCTGTGGGGAGGACCGGGCCTGATGGGGGGTGGGGGGTGGGGACGCTGGAGCAGAAGCACAGACACTTGAGTTAGTGTCCGCCCAGCCGGAGTGGGCGGCCAGGCGCCTCGGGACCCTGAAGCTGACCCTCCAAGGTGTGCTCTGGTCCTAGTGCCAAGCCCTGCCCTGCTCTCCCCCAAGCCAGTCGCTTATGGCCTGGGCGCCTCTCTCCCTCTCCCTGGGCCAGTGCGGCAGTGCAACAGGCTGGCGAGGCCCGAGGGCAGTGCGACGGGCTGGCGAGGCCCGAGGGCAGTGCGACGGGCTGGCGAGGCCCGAGGGCAGTGCGACGGGCTGGCGAGGCCCGTGGGCAGTGCGACGGGCTGGCGAGGCCCGTGGGCAGTGCGACGGGCTGGCGAGGCCCGTGGGCAGTGCGACGGGCTGGCGAGGCCCGAGGGCAGTGCGACGGGCTGGCGAGGCCCGTGGGCAGTGCGACGGGCTGGCGAGGCCCGTGGGCAGTGCGACGGGCTGGCGAGGCCCGTGGGCAGTGCGACGGGCTGGACTTCACAGCCTGGCGTCTCGGTCCAGTTTCCAAAACGTTGCTCTGGCAGGGTCCCTGTTGGGGGGCAGGGGGCAGAGGTCGGCCCAAGAGGCTTCTCTGGGGGGCTCAGTCTAGAGAGGCTGTCTGCCCCTCTGGACAGTGGGCAGTCAGCTCGGGGACATGCAGAGGAAGCAGGTGACCACCGGGCAGCTGTGGTGGCCCCTGCTGTAGCTGAGTGGCACTGGGCATCCCAGCTCTCCTCCGTCCCAGCTCCTCAGCCTGAGCCCGACCCATGTACTCGGGACAGAGGGTGGGATGGGGCAGGGGTGCACGCTGGTGCAGGCAGGGTGTGGCCTGGCCCACTGGCCCCGCTCAGTGCTCCGGGACATGGATGTAGGATGTACGTGCTCCCGCTCAGGGACATGGATGTAGGGTGTAGGTGCGGCTCACCAGCCTGGGGTCAGTGTGGCTGAAGGGTCCTGGCACCCAGAGCACAGCGGTCGTGAGGTGTCACAGGAGAGGCTCCTGGCTGTGCCGCCCACACCCCAGCCCCAGGCTGTGCCTTCCCAACCAGAGAAGGCAGCTGTGGTTCTGTGTCACCAGCTGTGGCGCTCACGGGGACCCAGGGGGCCTTGGACCTGGACCCCGTCCTGCAGGGATTTCCTGGGAGCCAGACCGGCAGGAACACAGAGGTGGCATCAGACGTCTGGCACGGGGACCGAGGTGCTCAGTGGACCCACGGAGGCCCTGCTGGCAGCTGTGGCTACACAGGAAGGCAGCAGCACGTGCAGCCCAGAGCTTCCGGGAGGGTCTGCAAACTCAGGACGGCATTCCAGGCAGCGCAATGGAACCCCCTCAACCCAGAGCCGGGAAAGCCCAGCCGGTGTATGGGGTTGCATGGGTGGTTCGAGGTGGCTGGGGTCTGGGGTTGGAGGGGAACAGGCCAGGTGGGGGTGACAGGAGCCAGCAGCAGCTGTGGAGGGGGTGGTTCGGAGCCGGGAGCCACCTGGCCGGGGCCCATGGAGGCATCGCCAGAGGCACGGACCAGATGGAGCCCTAGCGAGGGGCTGCGTGAGAACCCAGGGGGCGCCCCGGGAGCAGCCGCAGTGGCTGGGAGGGTGGGACGTGGGGCGAGGGCCAGTCTCTGGCTTCAGCAGCAGATGGGGGCCCCGGGAGGAGGATCGATGTGGGGAGAGGTGAGGTGCCCCCCTGGAGGCAGGTCCTCTGGGTGGAGGTGGCCAGCAGGACTTCCCGGGTCTGGGCAGGTGAGGAGAGAGGAAAGTTGGGAGCGCTTGAGGAGATGGGGCTGAGGGCTCCCACCCCTCCTGCGTGTCTGGGTGTTTCCTCCACGTGGCGGATTCCTGTGCCCGCAGCCCTCTGAGATGCCCCTTGCAGAGGGGTGAGCAGGGCGAGGGTCTGGAAAGCCGCTCACACTCCCTGCACCGACCTCTGAGCAGGACCCTGCAACATGTCGGGGCTGGAGCCAGGGATTCCTGAGTTTCGATCCTTTTCAGACACTGGCTTCCTCTGGGATCTGGGTTTTCCGGTCAGGCCCGAGGCGGGCGTCTGGGAGAGGAAGGTGCGGGTCTGCATCGCGTTGTGGCTGAGGCTGGGCGGCCGGACCACAGGCGCTCCCCGCCCGGGCCAGGCCGGGTGTGGGGCCCCTCCGGCAGGCGCAGGTCGGGGTGGTGAGTGGGGGACCCGCCACGTGGCCAGCGAGGTCAGCAGGGGTTCATGGGAAAGGACTTGTCGGCCGCAGGAGAGGACATCCTGCCTGCATTTCCCTCTTCCTGCGGCAGAGCCCACGGCCCGATTTAGCAGGGGCCACCTCGGAGGCAGCTGGGCAGCCTGATAACACCGCCTGCCCTGACCCCAGGCAGGGCCACTGCCCAGCACAGCTGGCTGCACCCACAGCTGTGCTGAGCTGGGAGCCAGCATGTGCCAGGCCCCTCCTCCCTACACCCCTCTCCTGGGGTTCTCAGGCCGCCCCCACTCCCACTCGGCCTCACCGCCACTCCCTGCTTCCCGAACTTGCCTCCCGCTGCCCCAAAGCTGCCACTCCATTGATCGGAGCATCCTCCCCGCACACCAGGGCTGTGAGTGGGATCCTCAGGCCACATACAAGAATCAACCAATGAATGCACAAGCAAGTGGAACAGCAAAACCTCTCTCTCTCTCTCTCTCTCTCTCTCTCTCTCTCTCTCTCTCTCTCTCTCTCATCAGTAAATTTAAAAATTAATTTAAAGCAGAGCCCTGAGCCTTCAGTGGCCCTCAGTCCAGCTTCCTGGGTGGGGGGAGGAAGAGGTCCCCATGCTGGGTCCCCAGGGCGAACCTAGCCCCAGGCCCACCTAGCATGCCCCCAGCCCCAGCGCTGCTCTTCACCCCGCCTTCCAGAGGCTTCGGAGGGAGAACTCCAGGCCTGCCCTGCCCGGGTGCTGCTTCGAGTGGGAGGGGCCTATGGAGGGGGGCACTTCATCCCCACTGCTGGGCCCTGAGAGCCCAGAGCCCAGGCGTTCAGGCGGGCCTGGGGAAGCTCTTATCCTCACTCAACCTAAAGCTCTATCCTCAGAGCCACCGGCACTTAACCCGATGGAGATAGTTCGCATTAAGCAGGAGCGCAAGGGCGCCGGCGGGCGCACCTTCACACTTGGACTCAGGTTAATCAGTTTGCTCTACACCAGTGATTCCACCTTCTGGCCCTTTAAACACAGCTCCTCATGTTGTGACCCAACCATAAAATT